TCCAGAAAATATGGGAAAAAAATTAATATTTAGCAATAGTACAACAGATTTTCCAAACAATTATTTCAGTCACTTTAAATATATTAAAAACCAATTAAATTTGATTTCATATTCAATTATGAGAATTCTTAATCTAGAACAGTGGTTCTCAAACTTTTTACTTACTATGATCAACAATTTGGTTAATATCATTGAAACTCAAGTAAAATTGTCAAATATCTTGGATTTGATTATAATCAACCATTTAAAATCTGACAGAAAAATAACCTTAATTTGATGAAGATTTTCAATAACACCGTTGATTTTGCAAGGATCAGACACAGATCCCCATTCTTCAGGAGCAAAACAACTTTGAAAAATTTTGGTACCACTCTGTTATCGGGACCAGATTCAGAAATTTATGAATGTATGCACGTGTATGTATGTATGTACTTGTAACTGCATATACACCGAACAGCCATTACATTATGACCCCCCTATTAATAAAATGTAGGACCACTTTTAGCCCTCAAAACTGCCAGCACCTGGCTAGGCATTGACTCCACAAGGTGCTGATACATAGTCTGAGGTATCTGGTACCAAGTGCTCACCAATTGGTATTGCAATTCCTGCATATTGCATGGGGGTAGCGTGGCAGCACGAATTTGGTTTTCCAGGTAGGACCACAAGCGTTCTATTGGATTAATGTTAGGTGAATTTTGAAGCCAAGACATGACTTGAAAGTCACTGGAATGTTCCTTGAGCCACTACCTGATGATTCAACCCTTATGGCATGATGCATTAACCTGTTGGTAAACAGCATCCCCCACCGGAAATACTGTTGGCATGAATGGTTGAACCTGGTCTGCAACAATGTTCACATACACACAGATCTCAAGGGTGTTCTATGGGGATTAAGGGTCCTAATATGCTCCATGAAAACATTGCCCAGACCATAACACCTTGTCTCTATCCAACAGTGCATCCAGGAGTCAGGGTTTGCTTTGGAAATCGGCGTGATGGACCAGAAAACATGATTCGTCGGATCATGCAACTTTCTTCCATTCTTCTAATGTCCAATTTCAATGTTTCTCGGCCCACTGCAGACACAGTTGGCAATGACATGCCATCAGTGCACAGACATACTTCATCCTCCGGTTGCATAGGTCCATACGCAGCAATGTACGCTGCACAGTGTGGTGAGAAACACTGTCTGGGTTGGCACTGTTGTAGCTGGTGGTGATTTCGGCTGTTGTAGATCTTCGGTCACAGCAAACAACGCATAGCAATCTCCGCTCTCCTTTGAAATCAATGCACCGTCGATGAAACACTGCTGCCTGTTGACTTGTTGTTTTACTATCCATACACCACTTTCGATATATGCTCACAACAACTGCACTTGAACACCCCACTAAATGCACCGTTTTTGATATCGATGTTCCCAATCAATGAGCCATAACGATTTGACCTATATTTAAGTCTGATAAATCAACTGCTTTTCCCATTATGTTGCTTTATGTACTATAACAGCAGCTGCGCACGTGCAGTGTTTTTGTTCCTGGGCAAGCCCATATTTATGGAGGATGGTCATAATGTCATGGCTCTTCAGTGTATGTGTAAATGTATACACATACATACATTTATACTTGCATATATGCATGCAAACATGAACACATACATACATTTCTGAACTCAGTCCTGATAACAGAACAGTACCAGAATTTTTCATTCCCTAAAAACATGTATCCCAAACTAGGGCTGCTTTTTTGTCTCGTTTTAAATTGGCAAGCACTCCAAGTATTAAGATTAGTGGTACAGAATTGGCAAATAACTTCTAAAAATGTTATGAACAGTTCATAAACAAACTTTTGCATCTAATTAAAATGCTCAGATGTACCTATTTATATGTTTCTATTTATATTCATATTTAGCTAAACTCCATTGCTATTTTGAAGGATGTTGTTTAATGTTCTCGAAAGAGCTGAGAACAAAAGTGATCACATTAAGTACTACCACTGAAATATTGCATAAACCAGAATAGAATTCAGGTACCTGCTTTTACAGCCAAACTAACTTTTATATGAAAAATCACACAATTGAAATCTTCATTATTTCTTAGGTCATCATCAATAGAGAGCTGTTCAAATAACTTTTCATTCAAAAAATAACATCTGACTTTATTTGCTGTTGTGATGTTGAAATGAATAAGTTTTGTAAGCATTCAACTCTGATTTTTCATCATAAGAGGTTGCTGTTGAGTCGCACAGTGACAAATCTATCTGATACCACTATTATTTCAAAGTAAGAAAGGGAATTAATTAAACAGCAACAAAAAATGTAATTTATATGAGTACTCTGGCGACCTAAATAAATAGCAACTATAGAAATTAAATTACACAAAATTAAAAAATTTGATTTTACAGCAGACTGAAGTCCTTCCCCTCCTCTCCTCCCAATAAGTTCAAATAGGGTTTCAACCTTTGGGTGAAGCCCATTGGGTTGAAATTGTGAGGGATTCCTTCTTAAGAGAACAGATGCCCTCAAGGAGGGCTGATTAGAGGAAGTGGCTCGTATTCATGTTTACATGTCCCTAAAACTACTCCAGAAGAAGCAATCTTTAAAGATCTGATAAAAAAAATTCCATTTATTAAGGAAAACAATTCTCCAGAAAAATCTAAAACACCTACTTTTTCACAGAGCTCGATAACTCTACCACAGGACATGCTTTATTCAAAGTTAATAACATCTTGAATTTCATCGTAAAAATTTGACCTTGCAGATGACGCACAGTTAAACACCTAACCCAATGCTATCGTTTCCAATGGTTCGGGCATACACAATATCAATGTTTTTACCCTCAAAGATACTGCAAATATGGAAAAGATCATAGGAGTACAGGGCACAAAATTAAGCATGAAAAATAACTCATTTGTGTCTCATGTAATCAAAACCATGTCAGCTCCTCCGCCAGATGTCCACAATACCAAAAAAGACTTGAAGAATCGAAAAGAAAAACGGAAAAAAAAAAAAAAAAAACTCCCTCCCCAAGAAAAAAACCATAAAATTTGCCAAGTGTATCTCCTAAAATTAATGGCAAACCTAATGCCTCAAGCTACAGTGAAATCCTCAAGAAAAATCTACACACAAAAAATCTACACCCAAAGAAATGCCAAGTAACGATATGCTACCGATTTGACGAAATTTTCTCCGACTTAATTATTTAAAAATCTCTTTGAGATATCATTCTTGTCAATAAACTAAATATTGCTAATACCATCACTGAAAAACTTATAATAGCACGGCAAGTTGGTCAGATTGTAATCAAGTTCTCAGAAGCAAATAACTAATTTTCTACTCCAAGCAAGCACCCCAGTAGCAAGGTTTCAATATGAAGCTACAGCTCCTACTGTTGTGGGTTTGTGCCCTGGCCCAGCTCACTCTAAAGAGAGTGATATAGATCAGGGTTTCTTAAACTTTTTTCAGTCACGACCCCTTTTTATCACTGAGATTTTTTCACGACCCCCAGTACCCCATAAGATTTACAAAAATTTTGTGGGACCCAATAAGTATTACATAAATCCGACACAAGCGTGAGTGAAACTGACAATTTTTTCACTTGTACAGTAATACACTATTGCAGTTTTAGGTCATTAACTTTAATTTCTAATTTTAAGACACAGAACAATGTGAAATTTTAAATAAGTAACAGACGAAATGACAGCGTCACGCGCAAAGCAAGGAAAATCAATGTTTATATTATAAAAATGTGTCAAAATGTTTCCCGTTTTTTTCTTTGTCTGTATCGTCTTATGTTTATCTATTTTCAGATATACTGTGTAAAAATATTTGGTAATTGTAAAATTATTATTAAGTTAAATATCAAAACCGCTAAAATTTTTGACGACCCCCTTGGGGATCGCGACCCACAGTTTAAGAAACCCTGATATAGATGAAAGAAGTTTCATGTACCTTTTGGCTTTGCCAAAATTGAATTTTACTTTTCTTCTTATCAAGGCCTAGTGAATAACAATATTGATACTGGTAAAGGCCTTTTCAGGCTGTAGACCTCTTAAGGAGTGATAACCTATGGTCTTCATGTGTAACATCAAGAAAACTACAGAAAACCATGCAACCAGCCCATTTGCCTAGGTCTGAATTACAAGTACTCGGAAGTCTTTAACCTCTCACTAGCGGTAAGGCCTTGCAGATTACAGTACTTTTTACATACATTTTAACTGTCGTAAAAAAAAAAATAAAAAAAAAAAAAAAAAATTAAACCCCTGATTCAGTAATAAAACATTATATATTTTTTATTAATATATAATACGTTACTTTTTTATATATACAACCAACCCCTTTTACTGCAATGTTTTACATATTTTGTTATTCATTTTTAACTTACCGAAAAACTTAGATTTATGTCTTCTAGATGTTATAAGGAATTAAATGCCAACTACAACTTACATACAATACGAAAAAACATAACATCAGGTTTACATTATAAATTTTTAAGGTTTTAAATATGCTATACACAACCAAGGGGAAAAAATTATAATATAATCAAATGCTTTAGGTAATTTCTTAACTTAATGAACATTATTATTCAAATTTTAGTGGAACATAAAAAACCATATAAGATTCAATACTTAAAACATAAATAAAATTTTTACCACTTTCTTTTTCCATTTCTTATCAATACCAAACATTCAGACGCAGAGTATACTACGTAAATTTGGCGCGAAGATCTTTAACTCATTGTTGCCAAAAGCTTACGCAGTTGCATTAAATAACGAAGAATATTAATGTAAAGTTTTATACTAAGCTGCTAGTTTTATAAAAATTGTACTAATTATTATGAGACTCTGAAATTCTTTTATCCATTTTATACAGCAATGGATTTAAGAGAAGCAGGGGAGCTCCAACAAAGAATATGTATTGTACACCGACGTTCTTTACCTCCAAGCATGTTGCTTTGCAGCAAAACTTTTTTAATCCATTACAGATCACACAGATCACTGTAACTGTAAAGTGTAAACACATGTTTGAGCCGAATTTATGAAAATAAAAACTTAGTGGGTAATATTAAATTAATTATTAAAGAATAAATTTAATAATGAGTATCGAAAATAAGATATCTGTCAAAGAACTTAACGAACTTGAAATCAAATACGTTACAGGTAGCTTAAAAAATTGCAAATTTTCTTTTCTTGCGGATAAAACTGATGAGCGTTATCGTAATGTACAAACAGCATTATGTACTATAGCTGAAGGTATAGTTAATCATGATTATCAAAAAGTTTTGCAGATTAAATTATCTGATTTTGAAATCAATCTTGTAACTTCTGAATGTTGTGAAAATGAACAGTTTTCATTTGAAAATGAGTTTCCTGATGACGAATTATATTCTTATATCTTACATATGATTATTCTTTTTATCGGTTCTTCTGCTTTGCAGGAATTTGTAAGATGTAATATGTCCGGACCGAGTCATTTAAAGAATGAAGAGTTTGGAGTCAGTTCCGAATTATTTGCAAATAAAAATTTTTCACACTCTGAAGTATTGCAGTATTTAAGTAAGGATAAAGAAGGCATTGATAGTAATGTGCTTCATCCTGAACTTTTATATTTAAGTTTACTATATCTTTCAAGTGTTTCAAATAATAAATGCTTAACAAATAAATGGTGGTTGCTGCGATGCACCCTAATTCATCAGTTCATTTTACCCGAACGTGACATACTTTTACATGATACAATTACTTCTTGCATTAAAGAAATATCTGAAATGGATTGGCTGAATTCTAATGACAGCATTGCAAAACTGATGTTTTATGTTGAAAGTTCACAAATTCATTTGCATTACCATGAAGTTGTTATTGCTAAAAAGTTCATAACAGAAGCTCAAATGCTTGTTGGCCTTGATATAGAACTTAGCGGGGCATATGGAAAAAGAACTCAATTCCAGAAAAAGGCTGTTGCTCAGCTTTTTGTTAAATTTAAAAGAAATAAGACAAAGCAAGAAAGTGACATAGTTTTAGATAGCAACTTTTATTGTCCCTTTGACCTCCAGTTACAAGATGATACATTATTAAATAAAGTAGCTTTTATTGATAATGATGAAAATATTGTTGATGATCTTCTACCAGAAGAACAGATTGTTCTTTTGGGATTTTGTTTGTTAACAAAAAGAAGTGGTTCATTTGATGAACTCTTACAAGAAGAAATTTTGGCTTATATTAATTGTTTATTAACACAGCCCAAAGTTTGGTCTGTTTATTTAAAAGCCCTGATAATGAGATGTATTGCAGAAAAGAATAATTCTCGTCGAGTTGAGAGAGCAATTATGCAAATGGAAACTATTGTAGATTCTATTAGAAAAGATTCACCTCCATTTTCAGTCAGGCAGTTCATGCTATATGCAACAGCTTTCCCAATGTATTGGATATTAGAAAAAGAACTTGCAGATTTATTACTTTCAGTAGGTGCTACCAAGTCAGCATTGGAAATATATGAAAGACTACAACTGTGGGAAGATATCATAGTGTGCTACCAGCGACTAGGTAGAACAATGTGTGCGGAAAAAGTAATTCGTGAACAGCTTGCAGAAAGTGAAACTCCCTTACTGTGGTGTTTATTGGGTGATGTCACAGATAATCCAGAATATTATTCCAAAGCTTGGGAATTATCTGAACATAGAAGCACCCGATCCCAGCGTTCCTTGGCATATTATTATTTCAAAAGGAAAGATTATGAAAAAAGCATTCCTTTTTTTCTCTCATCTTTGGAAATTAACCATTTACAACCAGATGTATGGTTTTCACTTGGATATGCTGCTACGCAATTAGAGAAATATGAACTTGCCGCGCAGGCTTATCGGCAAGTTGTCTCTCTTGATCAAGATAATTTTGAGGCTTGGAATAACTTATCCAATGCATACATTAAAACGAAGCAAAAGGTTCGAGCTTGGCGAAGTTTACAGGAAGCATTGAAATGTAATTATGAAGAATGGAGAGTATGGGAAAACTTCTTGTTAGTGAGCATTGATGTAGGAGCTTTTGAAGATGTTTTTCGAGCATGGCATCGTTTGCTTGATATCAAGGGTAAGCATCAAGATTCCGAAATTTTAGAAATATTAGTGAATGCTATTAGAAACGACTTACCTGATATAAATGGTTCCCCTGCTTCTCGATTGAAAAAACGTGCATTGCAGTTATTTGGAAGATTAACTTCACTAATTACAACAGATTCTAAAGTTTGGGAATTGTATTCATTATTACTTTGTACAGATGAAAGTTTCATCAGTGATAAAGATACTCTAGAAAGAATTGTCCAATTCCAGCAAAAAGCGTTTCGATGTTGCATCCAAAAAGGACAATGGGAAAAAGAGTTTTCAATGTGTAAAGAAGTTTCGAGGATTGCCTTAAGGCTGGCTGAAGTATCTGTGCTTTATGTCAAGATTCTTGAGGGTAATTTAAAAAATCAACAAAAGGTCTCACTGAAATTAGCTCTACAGAATGTTATATGCAGAATAGAAAAAAGTGTTGATAATTTCCAAGTTTCGGAGAAGGAAGAATTAAAACTTTCATTAACATCAATGAAAAATTACCTTTTAGATATAGAAACTCTATGACTTATTTCATCACATTCTTGTAAATCATTGTTAATACATCGATAATAATTTTGTTTTAAGTACTATTAGTACTACAAGGCATGTTTATTAGGCCTTTTAATCAAGGTCGCTATAGGCAGATTGCAATAATCTAGTGAGAGTCTAGTGAGCAATAATCTTCAGAGGAGTTGTAAATAGTTTGTATGAAACAAATAAATGTTTTTAGTACATAAAAATTTGTATTTTAATATTATATTTTTAGTTAGTTTAAATTTTAACAGAATTTATTTAAAATATTTGTGAATTATTTTTAAAGCTGAAATTAGTAATGATATAAAAATGCTTTATACATATTTATTTATGTTATTAAAATATCTTTTTTTAAATGATCAGCAACACGTCTTTGAATAGCATAGGTATGTAAAATTCAAAATGGTGAAATTTTTAGTGTTCAGTGTTTTAACATTCAGTGACTTGCTATTAAGATCAATGGGTTTTGAGATGGTCGCACGTAAACGTTTTGTAATTATGTCAGAAATATACATATAAATGTATATATTTTCTTTTTCTACAATAAGTCCTAAATATGTGAAAAGAATACATTTATACATTTCATTTTGAATGGAATAAAATAGTATACTTTTCCTAGAACAGAAAAATTTATTTCTGAAAGGGAATAAAAAAGGATTTTTTTAAAAATATATAAACTTGTCACTGACTTAATATAAAATGTAGGAAAATAATTCTTTTAATACTTACCAGATTTTTTTTTTACTCTTAATTTCAACAATACATATTCTAAAACTCTTCTTTACTACTTCCTTAACCTTCCAGCACGCGTGCGTTGTATTTTTTACGGCATCTGTTATTTTACTATTTTTGGCACGAAAAATAACAGAAATGAGTGAATATTGATAATAAATTTGTTAAAACATAAAATATTAACCTTATTATTGCAAAATACAAATGATGTCACATTCAAATGATAGTAAATTATTTTTAAACGTTCAAATTAGTCAGGTGAAAAAGCAATGATGTATTTCATTATAGAAATTTAAAAATTAGTCTATTACATCAACTATGTAAAAAAAATGTTCCTATTTCATCCTTTATATCCTTGGCATGGTGTTTTAGGCTAGGTAACGCTTTCAATATTCATCTTTGAGCAGTTTGCTTGCTCCTGTTTTTGCCACTTAGAAGATTTATTCTTACTAACATAGAACATATCATTATCATTCTTTTTTTGCTCTATCATTATTACTATCACCATCTGAAATATATTGTTCTTATTCACTGCTGATATTATTTATCTCTATATTTTCCTCACTCTGATCGCTCTTGTTTTCACATCCAAAAGTTTCCTTGTCTTCTTTTTCTTCATCAGATAATTCTTGGAAGAATGCAAGCAAAATCAGCTGGTTGCATATATTCTTTTACCGTGAAAACCGATATAAAAATTATAAAGTCGAATTTATATAAATTAAAATAATACATGTCAATTAATAACATAAAATTACAAAATATTTGAGAAAAAAGATATTTTCTGAATTTTCACCCACGACAACGCGTGTGTCGTAACTTTTACGAAGAAGCTGCTACGTAGCGCAAAAGCCCAGTAAAATGTCATGTGACTTTCTGTTGGCACATTCAATGATGTGGAGAAAGGTTGAAAGGAGGAATAGAAATGACATTCAGACGTCTGAAACTGCGATATGCGAAAAGTGTGCATTAAAAACCGTTTTTTGTAAACTTTGTGCATAGTGTGCTTGCTGGAAGGTTAAGTATGCACCTCATAGAATTTGCTTTACAATGCCTTTTAACATATTTCTTTCCAGTACGAACAATTCTTGTATAAATAGTTTTATAAACATATTTGTCAACAGAATTTCAATTATGTTTACAGTTAAATTGTGAAGGTTATTAGATATTTAGATAATATTCGGTCTACCGGAAAGTTCTGTCCACTTTTGGAATAAAACAAAATGCAAATTTTTCTTACCATCAGTAAACTTTATTAAATAATATAATTGCCATTATTATTAATGACTTGCCAGCACGAGGGCAATTTTTATATCCCATTTTTGAAAAATGTATCTTTTTATGCGAAAAATTGCACCAGTGCTTGTTTGATATCTTCCTCATTTTTGAATTTTTTGCCTTTAAAAACATTTTGTTAAGACAAAAACAAGTGATAGTTGGAGAGTGCTAATTCTGGGGAATATTGTGGATGCAACAGAATTCCCCAGCCTAGTTCTGTAATTTTTTCACAAGTTCCCAAAGCAGAATGTGGCTTGGCATTATCATGACGTAGTATGATGTCCTTCCTATTGAACATCTTGGAACTACTGTTATATATGCCCTCACTTGGCCAAATATTTTTGGTGAGAAACTCTACAGTGCCATATTACTATCTAAATTTTTTGTCTACATTTCTAACTTTAAACCTAAAATGTCTGCAAAAACCACGTTTCAAACACACAATTTAAGCTAAAAATCCGAAACAAAGACAAAAAATTTAGGTAGCAAAAATGTAAAGTTTCTAACCAAAAATATTTGACAAGAATCCATGTACACAGTAATCTATTTTAACTTAAAAAAAAATCATAGATTTGCACAATCTATGCAGCGAAGGAATCTACGAACTATGCACACCTTGCTTAAATAAATTAACATAACATTACCATCTATGCAGCGAAGGAATCTATGAACTACGCACCCTCACTTAAATAAATTTCAAACAATACCACTTACACAGCATTCTGTTTAAACTTTAAAAAAAAATCTGCGAATTGCACAATCTAGGCATTGCTAACTAATCAACAAAATAAACTAAAATAAATTGCAAACAATTCAAAAATCAATGAACATTCTACAAAATAAGAACAACAATAAAATAAAATGCACTTACTATGAATGAATGCTTCTTTGAACAGCAGAAATATCAATTTGAAACATCACCATAAATTTGTTGAAAGGATCTTCTCCCATTTCAAAACAGCTTTGGAAAAACATACAAACCACCAAATAAAACTCAAAATCGCATTTCCGATTATAAGTCAGCAACGTAGATTTAACATGCCGCCACGTAATCTCTATCATATTTATTTGACAGCCAGGCTCACTATCCACGAAATTGACACTACGATTCACTAATAAATGTTCAAAACCTTCTCCTAAATCCCTGTAGAATTTCCGGCCATCCGAAAAAATAGTTGTTCCAGGCATGCGACTAAAATTTTGCCAGCACGTCTTTCATTGCATCGTAAACCATTTCTAACTGCCCACCACACGAACCAACCAGCAACTAAAACCACTACAGTAAAATCCAAGTTTCCCGTAAAAAGTGTTGCCATAGAAACCATCGCAGAACACGCAATCGCGCCAAAACCCAACGCAGAATACATATCGCCACATTTGGCGACCTGACGTATGTAAGAGTAGTACCAACATCTTTTCCTGGACTGCTGTCTAAATCAATCAGTTGCTGACAATACTTCTCCGATTTAAGCTTTTTGTTTGATTTTAAAAGCTCATGTATTGATCCTCGAATGTCCCACAACATTCTCGTATTCAGAGTGAAATTTGGTTTAGAGGTGGAAGGGATAGGATTTCTGGGCTCACAATATGTCGTTTTCGTAGGTAATCCACTTTTCATTGCCAGTTATCATCCGGTTCAATAAGGGCTCGATTTTGTTCTGAGCAAGCAGAGATATGCATATGATGACTTGATTCATGTGGCTCCCATCTTGAATATTTCCAAACTAATTGTATCTTTCGAATATGGTCCAAAATGGTTTGCTGAGCTGGATAAAGCCTTTCCGTGATCTCCAATGTTGTCAGAAAAGAATCTTGCTCCAACATGGTCTTAACAACTTCGTCGGCAACCAAAGGTGATCACCCAAAGTGTGGCTTATCAGAAAGGTTAAAATCACCTGTTTCAAATTTTTTTAATCATCTTATGCATGCCCCTATCAGAAACTGTACGTTAAAAAAACATTTCTACATGTTTCTGTAGCATTTCTTCCTTGTTGAAATTCATATAAAATACAGTGACGTAAATGAACTTTATCAGTAGCCATGGGTACGCTGTCGTTTCACTCTTAAGACTAACATGAATCAACTTTGTTTTAGTTAATTTGCAACATTAGTATATATACATTAAGTGATAAAAAGAGAGCCAAACATGTGCTTACGTGTCAAAAATTGTTCTCATAAAAACGGACAGAAATTTTGGGTAGACCGAATAATTTATATTCATTATAAATTTAGATATATTTAGTAACTAGATTTCTTCACAGTAACTTTCACAGGAGTTTATGAATGAATAAATCTTTCATTTCTGAATACATATATAAATAATTTAGGTTAGAGTAGAGAGAAGGGTACTTCTTGTCAGAGTCGTAGCTAGGGTTTTCAGCGCCCAGGGACAACTGAAGATTTCGTGCCCCCTACTGCTTGCCAATGTTTTCCATCCTTGGCAAGCAGTAGGGGGACACATGTCTCCCTTGCCTCCCTCTAGCTACGCCCCTGCTTCTTGTATTATTGCAAAGTGTTCGTTATATTTATGGTAGCTTGACTAGTTGAATGTTATAAAAACCCTATTATGACGTAATCGGTTGCATGATTGCGGTAAATTCGTAAAGGCTTGTGGTATGTGTATTGGTTAGGAAGTAAAATGGCCAAATGTGGTAAGAATAATTTGAAGTTTCTGTACAATTTGGAAAGAAAGGGGAAAGGAGCATTACTTGACTGGTGTGTAAATGAAGGTTTACTTAGTAGCCATTATTAGGTGTCCTGTTTGTAGGAAGGAAATGTGTACGGTTGAACGTCGTTACAGATGATATTTTTGACTCATTTTGTGAATTTATGTAGCGATGCCAGTATACAGATTCTAGTTCAGATAATTTTAGGAAGTTTTTGGATGCTGTTAAGGAATTTTGTTTGACTGAAGATGTGTTAATTCATAAATAAGTTAAGTGGGTATTTTCTTTGTGTAGTGCAAAGATAAATTTCCTTTTTTATGTTTTTTCATTGTTTTGATTTAAAATGTGGTTTATTGAGATTATATATTTTTTCGTTGGCTGCTCCTTTGGCTTTAAGTGAATATAGTTCGATGTGTACATGGACAAAAGGAGTGTGCAAAGCCTGGTTTGTACAATTCTCCAATGTTTTTTTAAGTGAAAATAGGTCAATGTGTACATGGATAAAGGCTAGCGCCGCTACACAAACCAAAATA